CATACGCTGACACGTGTATACCATATTTTGAACCTAATTTTTAGTCTGTTTGTATAGTATCTTTCTTATTTAGAGGGTGTTTGGTAGAAATTTTTATGTGAAAATGCATTTTTGAATAGTAAATTGATGAAAAATGTGTGGTTGAAAAATAAGAAAAAGTTTTTGATTTACGTGTAATATTATTTTAATAAAGAATGTGTGGTTGAAAAGAAGAGAGAGAAAAATGCATTTTGATAAAAATGAGTGTCAAACAGGGCCTTAATATATTAAAAGCTAAAATCATTACACTAAACACGCCTCATAATTCATCCCTAATTCTAGCCCCAATAATCCCCAAATCTCCTGTCTTTACTATTAAATTATTGAACCAAGAAATTGATAAATCAAAACCAATAAAATCTTCAATGCACTCCAAGAACCTTGAAAATTGTATCTCAACCTGTAATTCCACCATATTTTCCATCCAAAAAATATTCGTTATTGTTATACACACACCGATTCTTCGCCATACAAACATGGCTCCCAACAAGAAGATGCAGATGGGTGACCCATATGTAGAATTTTGAAGAAAAATTTGCAAGTCTAAAATGTAGGAAATGTAGGGATTTTGATGGGGCGGAAAATTTGTTTAATCAAATGTTTGAAATATGGGGTTAAGCTTGACAATTTTTACTTTCTCGATCATAATTAGCTGTGCTAGGGTGTGTTCATTGCCTATAAAGAATGTTGAATCGTTAGGAAAAAAATGTCACCTTTTGATGTGAGCCTGATGAGGTTGCCTTGTGTATGCTCATAAGCATATCATATATTCTAGGTTGCCTTGTATCTCTAACTGTTCCCTAGTCCCTGTCATCTCCAAATGTTTCAATTCTAGGATTGTTTACTTGGTAGCATTAAAATATTTCTTTCTCTCTGAGATAAAAAAAATATATGATCCTTTCGATTTGCAAGTTAAGTCTACAATATTCCCAATTGGCGGCATTCTTTGCTTCAAACTTCTCTACATTAGTTTTTGGAGGTAATTAGATTATGGGAGAAGAGATAGAACTAATATAGAATACAAGATTCTAACTTTTTAGTTATTAAGGGTGGGAAAAGCATCATAGGATTACAAAGAAGTTTTCCATTTTACTGTATATAAATTTTAATATTGATTTTCTTATGTTTCAGTCCCCTTTATTGAAAATCCTGGATCCGTCCCTACTTGCACTAATGTAAAATGGATTACGAAACTGAAACGCCTAAAATCCAACATGCAATATATCAGAATATAAATACTCATAAAGTTCTCAATGACCTATATATTGTAAAATAGCAAGTTCATATTTCAAGACATCGTGGATCAGTTTTTCACATCCAATCCACTTAACAAACTAAAATAAATAGAGAGACATGTGCTTTTCAATTTGGTGTCGCTTATATGAATAGGAAAGGCTATGTAGGCATGCACAAGCAATCATTGAATTTTTTTCTTGGTGGCACTCTACAGGATGTTTAATCCTAGGGGTTGGCCACAAACACCCTGTAGCACTGGATTACATATCCTAATGGGACGAAATGAGCCTTAAGGACAAGGACTTATCCTTCTTCACTTTCCAAGCAAGTTATTACTAATTTTATTATTGTGTCACGAAGTATTTCTACCTCTGATAAGTATTAGGAACTTGTAGAAAAGTATTGATCATTGATTTCTCTCTTGTACATATTACTACTTTTGAAGCAGCATGGATCACCGAATATCAACAACTATAAATTAGTGGCTTCCATTCAATTAATGAATGGATCATTAAATAAATTTTCTTTTAACTCATAGTGATAATTCGTAAGAGAAGGGCAAATATTTCTTATGAATCCCAAAATACATTGGCATGACCAGCCAAGAGGTCCACAAATAAAAACACTAAGGTCTGGGGTTCGGCAGAGGGTCAAGGTTGATGATAGTAGCCAGCACAAAATAGAACTCTTAATATCGGGCACAAATAAATCCAATCAGTAAATTCAAAAGAAGCGCAATCTTACATTGATATAGTATAAGCTCTAGTGACGACAGCCTTGAGGGAGATAAAACTTGGAGTATACTCAAGTGCAGTAGGTCCTTACTTCATCCCATGAATTATTGACACTTAAAGGGCCCCATTCAAAGAGGTGGGAAACCTTATATGGAGGTAGAAGTAGGGAGCAAATCCAATGGTTTTCCATGATTTTGTCCCAAGGGTGTGTATCTCAGCCACCTTATCAGTGTAGTAAGTTGTTCCTTCAATTGGACATTTACGTGTTGTTTTTTCCTCGACATAATTGATTAGTCCCTCGATAGTATCCTGATCCACTGTTCACGAACATCTCCTTAGGCTGATGAACATTGATAAACATTTTTGTACTCATATCAACATTGTTAGGTACTGGAAGCTTCATATTCTCATTTGTTGGATTCATTATCACGATTGGTTATTAGCCAGAGGTTCTAATGAACAAAGAATCCATGACACGAATTCACCATATATAATTCGTGCTCACAAGGTTTCAACTTGATGGTAAATTTTCTCTTAGAATTCCTTGTACAAAAAGCACATGGGATCCACAACTTTTCAATTATTGCTGTTAAGCACCATTTCAACATTGTGCAAAGGAATCTTCAATTTATTGGCAAGCTTCATCATGTTGACTTGATGTCTACATTCAATCACATTGCAAGGTGTTGATTTCAGATGGATTGATAAAGTACATGATTCGTTTTGTTTTCTTTCATCGAGTTGTAATTATGACATTTAACATGTCATGTGTTTATGTTGATTTTGTGTGGCTATCAATATGTAGCAGCGTAGCCCCTATTTGGTGATTTTAATCTAAGTGAAATTCAATAATTAATTTCAACCACATATTTAATGGGACCCACAACTTTTCAATAATACAATTTATCAATTTATATCAAAATCTACTAAAAACCTGATTTTAATCTCCACTAAATAAAGGCATAATATGTCATTGCTCTCAAAAATTTCCCTACATTTATAATCCGTTTTAATTGGAATAGTCTCTTGTATGACTTTATTCCCTTCATATGTAGATATGTAGGCATGGGAAAATTTGAGCACTCTGCAGCGGCTGTAAACTATCCGTATACATCATTTACGTGCCCTTCCGTTGTAGGGTGCCCCACTCAAAGTGGGGAATTATGGTTGGGGTAATTAGGTAAATTTTGTTTTTAATTTTGAACATTTTAAAAATTCAAATTAAGGGTACTTAAGATTTTTAACATATGATAAAATAGAAGTTATTTGACCAATGGCTAATTATATTACCATTACAAATTTTAATTACTACACCACATTATAATTACACCACAATTAAAATATATTTTTAATAAATACACCACAATAAATTTACAATTATACTCCTAATTCGGTAAAGACAAAAAAATTGAAAAAGGACATAATATAATATTGTGGCATACTTATCACCAATATTAATCCCCATTTTCTCAACATTTCCCCTCATTTATTTCATAGCAATTGAAAATAGAAGATTGGTGAAGAACACCATGCCATAATAAATAATTAATATGTTAGAAATGATCCTTTGAAGTTGTTAGTAATTTATTTATGTTACAATTTTTACTCGAAATATGAATTTTTAATGTATTCGCAATTTCATTTTTTAATATTGGAAAGTCTATTTTAGAAACACTTTTAAGAGGAAATTAAAAATTTTTATCGACAACAGCCTTATAGTTTCATGTATAAAAATGTTTTAATAATTCATCAGACACATTTAAAATCCAACTTGAGGAAAAATTTAGTGAAAAATTCATTTCTAAGAAGGTAAGTTTACCCCTTATCTAAATTAAGAATAAAAATTTAAGGTTTCAAAAATCAGATTTTATAAATTTTATTTATAAATTAATTTATTAAACATATATTTTATTAATTAAATATATTTAGATCACAATTTTTTGTCACGGTTATTTAATTAATTAGTAACAGATTAATTTTATGTCACAACTTATCAAATTAATGGTCACAACTTATTTCTCATTCACAAATGAAAATTTTAAAGGTCACAAATATTTTCGATCACAAATTCAAAAATTTTACAGATAACAGATTATTGATTGGATCACGTATTCAAAGTTATAGTCATATTTTTCGGGTCACATATTCAAATATTAGTGGATTTATTGGTCACGGTTAATTTTTCGATCACAATTGATTAAATTGTGAGTCACGATTCGGAATAATAGGCACAATTTTTTAGGTCACTTATCCACAATTGAGAGGCACCGCCAACGCAGCCAACATCGTCCCCAAATCATTCCACAACCACGGCATCCACCCAACAGCCAGCACCATCTCCTCTACTGCCATCACAACAAACAAAAACCGTCACAAACCGTTCCACAGCCAACACGCTCACAGAGAAATAAGTTGCAGATTGGTCGGCAATGAGAGATGTGAGACCGTGAGAGAGATCTGCACACATTGCCACACACCCTTACAGATCACCACACACCATCACTGCAAGCCACCGCCGTCGCGCACACACTCCAACACAGCCTCAAGCCACCGCCATCCCAAACACATGCCACACCCACACCACCACCTCAACACCGCCATATCACCAGTGCTGCCCACTTTTCAGATTCAAAATTATCACATCCACATCCATAGCCACCGCCACAACCATACCGCCATCGCCGTAACTATCGCCACCACCATCTCCAGCCCACAAATCGTCAAAAATCCACACTCACTCGCACCACAGATCGCCACAACCATGCGAATGGCAGCGTCAATGAACTGCAGCGCCACGACGCTACTGTTCACAACAGCATCAGTCGATGATGCTGCAAAGAGTCTCAATGCCTCCGATTCTATCAGCGTCGGCCGATGCATCTTCTTCATCGTCGAATTTGTGGCCGCCGTCGAGAGACGAGAAGAGCAACGGGTTTAGAGAGAGAGAGATGAATGGAGAGACTGGGTTGAGTGTTTATATGTATTTGAAATAAATATTTTATATCTATTAATTAATTGAAACATCTGATTTTGAAATAAACAAACATTGGGTGGGATTTGTGAATTTGGAATTTTAAACATAGGGAACGGTGTAATTTCCACAAAAATTTATGACATACTGTTGATAAAGTGGACATGTTTCAGAATTGAATTACTAGATATAAATTTAGTATTCGATTTATTCATACTTGGTTAGTAGTAAAGCATTGCGCATAATCGTATATATTGAAGTCGTCATCATTTTCCTAACATTTAGGAAAAAAATTTGAATTATGATAAGTTATAAATATTTAAATTTATTACGATCCTATAAAAAAATACAATATAACAATAAAAACTTCTTGTTGATTAAGAACAATTTTCAAAAATTCATATACCTCATAGACAAAAGTCCACAAAAAATGATGCACCTACATTACACAAATTCATTTACGATTTATCTATATACATGTAATTCATGGTGATGAATGGTGCAGCTTGTGTATGTCCCACATGATGAATGCACGCAATTCATGAAATTATGGTTACTTGTAAATTCATAAACCCATTTAATAATTAAAAATCATAATCTTACATATTTTTTTTAAAACAATAAAAAATCTATTTAACTTAACCAAAAATAATAATAATAATAATAAATTAAAAAAAATTAGATTCTCAATTTTCAAACTTGAAAAATAAATTCATTTATCGTGAGGGAAGGATTATCTTATAGCCGCGGAAGAAGGCAAAAGCCTTTGGAAAAACTATGAATAATGAGACATTGAGGAAAAAGCAGTGGTGGAGCTAGCACTCGGCGAAGGGAAGTGGTAGCATGTGCTGGCTCCGCCAGAGTCACCATTGCTATTGCCGATTGAGAGGGGAGATAAAGCCTGCAGAAATTCTCAGGAGAAAAACGCTGAGATTGAAGATGATTCATGATTGGGCCCTTTTTTAAGTTTTTAATTGTGATCGTGGGCTTTTTTGTTATTACTTATTAGACCTCTAGTTTCTCAATGAAAATGGCCCAATCAAATGCCCAGGCCCTATCTTCTACCCATCCCCAATTTCAATTGCAAACAAAACACAATCCTGCTGCAAATTGAAGAGTTAATTAAATCATCAATCAGTAACATTTAATTCTAGTTACTATTTGCTCACCCACTTTTAAAAATTTATTGACTGCTTATCCACTTTTGAAAAAAAATTATCCATTCATCACTCATTTCATCTTTATCCATCCAACTCAGCAAATGTGTCTACATGGCAAACGAATTTCTTACGTAGCGACTAACACTGTTAAAATTTGACAAGTGACCACTAATTATTTAAAACATCTTCCAAAAGAAATTGAATGGGACGGTCCAAACAACCACTCTTTCTTTTCCACAAAAACACTTTCTTTTTCCCCAAAACCAAGCAAATTTTCCCCAAATCAATTCAAGTTTACATGAATGAATCGATAAAGCTAAACACAGAATCTAACTAATAGGGAAAATCAATTAAAAATGATACTACTCCACTGGCGCCATTAAAGAAGATGGGGCTCCATTAGGATGGACTTTCTTGAATAAAATAAAGGAGAAGCAACCACTACCAGAATTACTTTTGCTTTGATTAATATATCCTAAAACTTTCTCATTTGATTTTTTGTTTTCCATTCAACTAGTCTTCTACTTGTGAATTTTTACTAATTTACAGGAATGGAGACATGCACCAGAACACACAAAATTTGAATAGCCATTTAAATTTCTGTCTATTCTTTGTATTCTGAATGGCCATTTAAATTTCTACACAAATATGCCACCACAAGAAATTGAGAGCACTGGTTTCATAAAAATATAAAATTTGACAACAGAAGAAATTGATAGCACTGGTTTGTAAAATAGGGTTTTATAAGCAACACCAAAATATTTACATAATATAAAATTTCAGTCTAATTTTTTTATTGTATGTATCTAGGGTTTTTATAAAATTAATGGGTTTTCAATTTGGGGATCGATTTGGATCAATTTCGATTAATGCTCAACAGATAACTATTTTCATGGATGCAATTTTTTGGACTGGGCTTTGATTATGCAATTGTACAAAAGATTTGGGAGAAGCGTTTTTGTGGGGAAGAAAAAGTTGCCGTGTCCCGTTCAATTTGTTTTGGAAGAAGTTTTAAATAATTAGTGAGAAAGCGTTATTAATGAAATGGGTAAATCTAACCTGTCAAATTTTAACGGTGTTAGTTGCCACGTAAGAAATCTGTCTGCCACGTAGACACATTTGCTGAGTTGGATGGATGGAGATGAAATGAGTGATGGATGGATAATTTTTTTCGAAAGTGGGTGAACAGTCATTAATTTTTTAAAAATGGGTGAGCAAGTACTAATCGGGAGTAAAGGTTAGTGATTGATGATTTAATTAACTCGCAAATTGACAGCCTGTTTGGGAGTGTTTTTTGGCCCAAAAAATTTATTTTTTTACCGTTATTTCACTATTCCAGCCGTCATATTTGACTTCTTCTCTCACAGGTGGACCCCACTTTTCTTCTAATAGTCAAATAATCAATTCTCAAAATCACTCCTAAACAAGCTCTGAATCTCAATCCCTCCCTTGGTCGAACCCAGCGGTCCCACCGTCCCAGACCTGCGCTGCTGCCAGTCACTGACGACATCTAGCCTCTCCGACTCTAGTTTTAGCCACTCGCTTCGCTGTTGTGGGTCTGCTCAACTGATCTTCTCTTTTCTTTCTTTCTTTTTTTTTCTCATTTTTGTTTTGTCAAAATTTAGTTAATTTTTTGATTTGTCATTTATGATTTATGTTTATGAGTTATGGATAGGTTTGTGAGCCTTTAGTGTTAACTCTTGATTGTGAGGATTTAATTTTTGTGAATTTGAGAATTGGAGATTTTGTGAATTTGAGAATATTGGGAATTTTTTGAATTAGAGAATATTAGAAAATATTGGGGATTTTCATTTCTGCTTAACCGACTGTTGAGAAATTTTTGGTACTTGGTAAAAGATCATGGTATTTATCAGGTGTCTAAACGTGCTTTGATGGATTGAAGTAGTAGTGATGTCTTGCTATCATGTGATTTTGGAAATTGCAGAGAATGCAAGATGTATCACAAGAGTGAGGGCATAGATGGAAGAAAATGAGCAGTTGTCTATACTTATGAAGGGACTTTGGGGTCAAAATTTGAAAGACACATTGTTGATGACAATACCAAGCTTCGATTAGTTGAAGTCAGTAATATGACTTTCGTTTCGTCAAATGTTACTTCTAAATACCTTGTTAGGTGTCTCACTTGTACGTTCGTTTTCTCTGTTCTTTTCCTTTTCCTTTTCTTCTCTTTGCAACTTAGAAACTACCTAAATGTTTGGATTTTCAAGTTTTGCTAATGGAAAAACCATTAAAGTGTAAGGTTTTCTTAAATATGATGTCCATTATGGTCCACCTTGATTGCAAGTTGTGTGTTTTACGATAGTACATACGAGTTACCATCTAAATATTTGGATTCAATTCATCCTAGGTCGTAAGCAAAACCTTTGGGTTTCCTTTATATTCAATATTACAAAAGGAAGTCAAGTGAATCCGTGTTACATATGATTTTTATGTTTTAGTGTATTTGCATATAAATTGAAGAATTTTTAATATTATTTAATTAAATATTAATGAATGACCTCTTCATTATAGTCGTTGACTGTCCTATTTGAGCTCCAATCTTGGATTCGTCACTAGGAAAAAGAAAGAAAGAAATTAGGTTTTATATTTGTAGTTTAACAATAATTTATTTACTTAAACAGTATATTAAAATTCTAATTATGTAATTTTAGTTAAGAATATTTTAATAAATAAGAAAAATGTGTTGTACTTAGCAAAATTTGCAAGCAGTGATATACCCTCGACCAAAAAGTACCAAGTGCAGCCCAACTCAAATCTCTACTCTTCCACTCTCTCCTCTTCGCCGATTCTCCAGCAATGAGCACCTTCGACTTTTAATCCAGTTAACCAAAAGTTTTCATTCTTAAATTTACTCCTATCGATTGTCAGTATCGCTTTTTTTGTTTTACGGGGCTTGGTGTAAACCCTTGATGTTACCGTTGATATTTCACCATTTCTCTGTTTTAGTTACTACTTGTTTTGGGTTTTGGAGATTTAGTTTTCCAGTTATCATAGTTTTCTGGAATGATCAAGTAGAATTTTTTATGTTTCAATATGATTTTGATGGTTTCTTGTGTGGAATTATGTGAACCATGTGCTCTATCTCTATCGCAAGTGTTAGAATAGAATGCTTATGATGTTTACTAGCTACATGACTATAATTTGGTGATTAACTGATTTCCTTATTTATTCATGTTTTGACTGTTAACTTGATTTATGTCTCATATTCATACAGTACTCCATTGCCATTTTAATTTTGGTGCAGATAATTCCATGAATCTAGCATCTGGGTTTGATATTCACTATGATTCCACTATAGCAAAGGTATCTAACCTTGGACAGTGGTGTAGAACATATTAAAAGATAAATTTAGACGTATGTTTCTTTTGCCAGATTTTATCCTAATCTAACCTTGGACAATGGTCCTTTTGGAAGTGTTGAACGTATATAAGTAAATATTTTCTTATTGTACTCCCAAGTTTTGATGAATTTGGGATGTTAAGGAGAGAATAGAAGAATTGTCTAAGAGGTTGAATTAGATTTATGGTAAACTGTGTCTTGGCTGAAGTTTAAGGAACAATGGATTAATAAATTTAAATTTGTCACTTGAATTAGATTTACAAATTGGATGCCTAATGGTGGTTGAGAATTGGTTTATTGGCATTTTCCCATTCATTCACTTTACTTGTTTAGGTTTGATGTGAATCTTTTGTTCCTTTTACTTTTTACCTTTAATTGGCCTTATCATAGGTAGCTTGATCATCCAAAATAGGCTGTTCAACTTGCTGTCCACACAATGATTTTTTAAAACGTCATTTTAAATTAAAGTGTCCAACTTTTCTCAAACTACTACTCGTGCTTAAAAATAGTTGTAAAATAATATGTCAATGAATCGTTGGTGAGCAGCAAGTTGGATAGCAGATCTCAACTCCAACCGGATGATGTCATATTTTTCATTTTACTGTGATGTGAATTTTGTTAATACATTGTCTTGTTTTTTAAATTTCAGCCTCCCCTAACATATTGTACTGGATTATGCTCAAAGGCTACCTACTGCTTTTTGTTGGTGAAAATATTGCCTTCTCAGTCTACATGTTCCTTCTGTGAGAAAGTTGTCATCCTTGTTGAGCTCTATGGAGTTTGTACGTATCTCTGTATCTCTTTCTGCAGTTTTTTTATGGGCATCCACTAATTTACTTTCTTATTCTTGAATTTAATGATGTTTTCATTTGCAGACATGTTTGAGTGAAGGAAGGGGGTTTTATTTCCCACCATGTCATATTTTGGACATCTGCGGCTTTCGGGTTTTATTGGATTGCCCCATGGACCTTTCTTCTCTAACAATGTTTATGCCAGTACCCACAGATTCATTCACGATGTGTAATGGTGAAATCACTTCTCGTTCCTGCCAGAGATCTATGGATTTGGATTCAAACGAGAATAAGAGACGCAAAATTAATAAACCCTTTGATGAAAGCAGTTTAATACGTGCTGAACCACGTTATAAGATTATAAAAAATTTGCTTTTATGGGATGTTTCTTCTATTGATGTCGTGTTGATCTCAAGTCCAATGGGTATTTTAGGGTTACCATTTCTCACCTGCAACAAAGATTTTTCTGCTAAGGTAACTGAAAATGCAATTTCCTCACTATTCAGTTCGTAACTGTTATTTAACTAAAATGATGTAAATATGATCATTATGGTTCATAAAATGGATTAGGTATATGCCACTGAGGCAGCGGCTAGATTTGGACAGCTTATGATGGAGGATCTTGTTACAATGCATAAAGAATTTAGACAAGTTTATGGATCTGAGGGGTCTGTTTCACCTCAATGGATGAAATGGGAAGAGCTTGAATTGCTTCCATCAGAACTAAAAGAGATAGCATTGGGTAAAGATGGATCAGAGCTTGCTGGATGGATGTCGTTGTACAGGTAAATAATTTGTTGCAAATTATTATTCACAAACTCCGATCCTAAATCATCTTAATTAGCTCATGTTTGGTCTCCTTTTCTTAGAATTCATTTTTTCTCAAATTCATTTTCATCCATATAATTCGTGGGATCCACAACTTTTGTCAACTTTTAAACCACATATTTCATCTATTTTTATTAAAATCTACAAAAAATCTGACTTTTAGCAAAACCAAATAGGGGCTTAATCTTTTTGATTTAGAGCTTTTCCATATTAAATTGATTTATTTTCACAATTAATAACTCAAATTTATTTAGTTGATTTCTTATTTCACATGGAATTCAAGTGAAATAAGAAGATACAATTTAAGTTTGTAACTCTTTTGACTTGTGTATGTAAAGTGTAAACCAAAGTGCTTCAGCACAACAGAAATTATATCTATAGATCCAAAGCTTTTATGATTACGATCTTAGAATTTTATTTCGGATGACTGGGTTTGACACTGGTAGTTGAACACGTGACTTTCTTGAGCCTCATACTAGTTATTAGCTCTCAAAGAAGGCTGAAAATTTATGTCAAAATACTAATGTGTTTTTTGCTTTGCAATTTGAAACCAAGTTCCTAAACATGGGCCTGTTAAAATTCAAGAATCTAAATGCCTACCATCTAACTATAGGATTAGCATCCACACAGACTTGTACTACTAAATATATTAGGTTGATCTGTTTGATATATGTACCTTATGGCTAAGCGATATATTATATTGCATGATTTCAAAGGCATCAACAGAAAACAAACTGGTATGTTGTGATCTATACTTGTAGCTGCTTAAGGTTGAAATATATAATTATACTTTATTGAAAATGTGAAAGGTTTTATCCAACTTGTACTTGGAAAACCAATAAAAATGGAGACATCTTTTATATTTCCTGTTCTCATATTTGCATTGCTGTGTTATTTGTGTCAATTATGAAGGATTCATATTTAATTGAAGTAGCTGGAAAAATCTGGAATAGCTATAAAACTTTCCCATCAAGAATTGTGTATTTCTGTGTTATTTTCATTTTACCCCAGTGTCTAAATTGTGAACATTCATGTTTGAGGATGTAATGAGGGATGCTTCTCAGTGCAGCTGATGTGAAGGATTGCATGCAGAAGATTCAATCTCTTAAGTATGCGGAAGAAGTTTTTTACAATGGCACATTGATCATTAAAGCATTTGCTTCTGGTTTAGAAATAGGCACCTGCAATTGGAGTATCATTTGTCCAAAAGGAAGCATTGCGTATCTTTCAAGCTCTGTTTTAACATCAGCCACAGCAATGTGTTTTGATTACACCTCTCTTCAAAGAAATGATGTGATTATATACGCAGATTTTACACCTTGCCATGCTTCAAACAAATCCAGTGATGATAATAATGGCCCTTCTACAGCTGATCCAAATCTAAGGTGCTTCAACTTTTGTAATGTTATATTTTTTGTTTCATGAAGATTTTGTAGTTTGTGCTATTAGAAATAATCACAACTATTTGTTTTTCTTATGATACCTGAAACTGATTGAAGTTTTGCCATCATTTCTTGTAGTGTTGGTAATGTTGACTGGGAAGCAATTGCTGATGATTATCAGGAGATGGAGAAGTTAGACTTCATATGCTCTTGTTCGATGGACTCAATAAAAGCTGGAGGTTCAGTTCTAATTCCTGTTGGGCGAATTGGGATGGTTTTGCAGCTATTGGAGCGGATTGCACTGTGCCTTGAATCTCAAAACTTGACGGTATATTTATTTGGATGTAAATGCCATTTCTTTTGACGAATGACAAGGTACCTGATGAATTATGTTTGGCATTGGGAACGAACAACATGTTCACCCAAAATTGTATTTTCTTGGTTTTTTACAATGAAAACTTCTGCTGCTGTTTAATATCAAGTGATTGAACCTCAATTTCTTTCATAACAAATATAAGTATCTTAGGTCTTGGGATAGTATATGACGGAAAGAAGTACCATTTCATTTTCTTGTATATTTACGAACAAATCCAACAGAATGAGTTGATCTTTATCCCAAATTGTAGCGCATACCATATTTAGTAGTTAGAGTTAAAATGTAACTATTTATATTCTCAGATGAGTATAACAGTTTTTTGATGAATTTCATTCAGATATGAAATGCAAATGAATATATGGACAACTATTCAAAAAAAAAATGAATAAATGGACAAAATTTCCTATAGATACTATTGCAATTTTATTTTTTATTTTTTTTTGGGTTCATATTTCTACTTCAGGTATATGTCATCTATTTTCCTGTGATGTAGTTTCCTATATTTATTGTTTCTTCTGTTGCGGAAGAGTTGATGGCATATACGAATGTGATACCCGAATGGTTGAACAAGCAGAGGCAAGACCGAGTATGTTACGGTCAATACTATCAAGTCTTATATGACCGTCAGGCTCTTAACTGTGAGCGTGCTAACACAGATTTTTTTCTTTTTTCTTTTTTAAATGATTCTACAGCTCTACTCTGGTCAACAATTATTTAATCACTTGAAGCTGTTAAATGATAAAAGGCTTCAGTTGTTTCCTGCTATTCACTCACTCAAATTATTGTAAGATATGATCTTCCCTTTCATTTGATGTGAGCATATCTACAAGAAATTTTTTCTGTGATGTACTCTTATCATTTGCAAAATGCCTTCGACGTTTTCCGGTGAAATTATAAATTTTTTATTGTGGTTTTTTGGGGCCAGGGATTTGTAACATATTCGGATGGCGTCTTTTTCCCTGTACTAATATATTCTGATGTCACTTTCGAGTTTCAGTAACTCATCTAGGAGATCACACAGATTATGGGACATAATGATTTTAGAAGTCTTTAAATGACTAATATGTATCTAGAGAGAATGAACATGTTTCAGATTCTGCCAATAATCTGTTTTAGTGCTCTCTACCAGCATAATTGGGATGGAAACTAATCGTATTTTCATAGAACCAATTGGAAGGAACCCTGCATAGTATTTTGTCCCCATTGGAGTCTAAGACTTGGACCTGTTGTTCATTTGCTTCGACGGTGGTGTAGGGATGAAAACTCTATCCTTGTTATGGAGGTATAGAAAGTTTTCCTACAGGCTACTAAATTCTGCATTATTTTTTATAAATGTCTACATATGTTGTGATTGTATGGCACTAATGGATTTTATTTACCGTCATTTAATTATAAGTACAGGAAGGAGTGGATTCCAATTTGGCCCTCCTACCTTTTAGGCCAATGAAGATGAAAGTTCTGCAGTGTTCCTTTCTTTCTGGAATGGAGTAAGTTTTATTTCAATTTTGTTTTTGATTGTACTCATGAAATGCAGATTTACCTTCTACATTGAGCTCTGTATTGGAGTTAAAATTGCTTTGAACTCTCAACTGGTCACCTATTTATTGATTACTTATTAATTTTGAATGCTGATGTTAATGTCAAAACACTCTCTCTCTCTCTCAACTAAACCTCTAATATGAACGACTAGCATGTTTTAGTTAGCTTGAAATGGTTTTGTTTTGAAGTTCCTTATGTTTACGAGCTTAGTTTTGTTTCATTTTGGTTCCTCATCTTGCTACAATGTTGTAGAGCTATTATTTTCGTATTTTTAGTTATTATTATTATTATATTTTTTTTTTTTTGGATGAGCTTGAATTTTCATATTTCCGGTTTTGCAGGTTGCAATTTTCTCAACATTTGCTGAAGACATTACAACCTAGACATGTTTTGGTAAGAATCTTTCATGAAATTCATTTAGTTTCCTGGGTTAACTCGTTTGCTTACCAGCTTGATGCTCGTGAAATACTATATTGTACGTGTTTTCCCAACAACTTTTCATTTCTGCTGAAAACAGTTCCCCGAGAAGTTGAGGCAGCACGTTGATCTTCCGAAAAATTTGTTTTCATCCAGTTATTACTCTGAAGATGAAACACTCAATGTTCCCAACTTGGAAGAGAATTCAGAATTAGATATTGCTGTAGACTTGGCTTTACAGCTTCATTACACGACACTTAAACAGGAAAACATACGTGTTGCAAGGTTGAAGGGCGAGCTTGCACTAGAGCAAGGCAAATATCGATTACTCCTTAGGAACGATCAAGTTGTTTCTTCTCAGGTTAGGTCAGCGGTGCATTTGGGAAGAATTGAATTGGACGTTCTTCTGACTGAACTGCGTAAAAATGGATTGAATATAACTGTAGAAGAAATCATGAGTGCAGATGGATTACACAAGACTTCTCTTGTGCACGTGTTGGAGCCCCAAAAAGCCACAATAGAAATCACAAAAGCACAAACATTGATTTGTACTGCAAACAACGATTTAGCTTGCCAAATTTCTGAAGTTGTAAGTAGCTTATTGGATTGCATTTGAAATTGATATTAGAAGAGGGAAGGCTTCAAGTGAGTCCATTAATGGCTTTGAGTTATAGTGTGGCTTGAAATCATGACTGTTGCTTAATACTTATTTCATTAATGTTTATACGAAATATTTTTTACTTTCTTTCATTATGACATCATCCTTATTGACGATATTTCTAGCAAAATTCTTTCAATATGATTTGATTAAATTTGGAGCCTTAGACGTTGATTTTTTTATTTTTTTTTATTTTTTTTTAATTTTTATTTTTTTTTCTGAGTGTATGCTGCATCATTGTTACATAATGGACACGACTCCTTTGTTCGACCTTTTGGTTGTTTTGATGTTACTTAAATCATGAATGATCTAGAACAAACGGGGGGAAAAAATAGCAACGTGGCAGTTCATGATTGAGTGTTTTTATGATTTTTTTTCCCATTCTTCAAGGAAAAACTGTCAATTGTAGTTTGAAAATGTTTTTCTGTCATTGATTCTAACCATATAGCATGATTGCTTAAATCATACAGGCATTGATTTGACGTAGATTCATGTTCTTACTACTTTATTATGTGATTAACTTAAAAGATCAATGGTTCCAAGGCAATCAATTGGTTAAATTAAGGTAATGGTAGATAAAGCCCCTATTTGAGACCCATTGGGTTAAAATATATTTTATAATAGTGATTTTGGAGAATGTATAATTTAAAAGTAAGGAAAATTTTTGAATTTACTTGTAAAATTATTTTATGTGAGAATGTGTGGTTAAAATGAGCACTGAAAATTTATTTTTGAAAAAAGGGAAACCAAACGGGGGCAAAATCATATCTGTAACGTCCCGAAACTTTTGTAAAATAAAATTTATTTGTTCTATATGCTATATTTTTATATTTTGAAAGTTGATGAACTAAAATGAAATAGTTTAATTTTAATTTTACTTGGATCAAATGATTATATTTTGATAAAAAGAGAGAACTCTTTTTAAGCTTATAATTAATTAGAAGTTTTTTACTCGAGGAAAAGTTAATTCAAATAAGTTGTATCAAAAATATTGGAGCCCAAAGAAGTTAAGCCTATGTTTGAGCTACTTTATTTTGGGAAAAATGCATTTTGAATAGTGTATTGATATAAGAGAAATGTGTTGCTGAAAAATAAGAAAAAATTTAGAATTTACGTGTAATATTATTTATTAAAGAATGTGTAATTGAAATGTTGTCAAATCACTGTTTAAGAATGAATTTGTTTTTTCAAATAATGTGGATCATACAGGGCCAAAATTTAATTGGTAATTCGAATCCTATTTTTGATTGTGATAGATATTGATTTAATCATTTTTCAAGCCACTTGCACACGATTGGTAGGAAATCATATATTTTATTCATACAAAGGACAGAGAAAGAGAAAGAGAAAGATTTTCACGTGCATTATTTTGTAGTCCATTACAACTTTTCAAATCTATTAAGGTAAGATACTTTTTTTCAAGTGATTTGTTTTCGTATATTTTTATATTCAGTAATTTATGTATGAATTGTCAGAGAAACATTCAAGTTCGATCTAACAAAATGTGAACTCTGTAGGGTTCTTTATAACAAAATGTGAAATCTTTCGAGAATTCAAAATACTAATGATGGATGTCTTGCTTGGCCATCGATATACTCCATGAGAAATGTGGTATGAAGTGTCTATTTTATTGAAGGAAAATAAACATAAGGGGTTGTTTGAGGCACATTATTGGACAAAAAAATGAAAATTTTCATCGTTAATCATCACATCCAGCCAATTTTGTTAACTTCTCATTTCTTATGTGTGGCCTAGCTGTGTGTACAACGACTTGAATATTCATTTTAATGAAACAAATAATGTATTCCAAACAGGGGCTATGTTTTTCTGTCATTCAATTTGTTAATTAGTTTTAATTCATTCTAAGCCATGTAGTTTAATTAGTTAGGCTATCAATTTTTTTTTATTCAATTTCCATATTTTGGTTTAAACTTTATGGATATTCCAATTATTTTTATTAAATAATTTTATTTTATCATTCCACCTATGTCTTTGCTCCAAGCAATGTAATCAGAATGTCCTTATAGTCCCTCTATGGTGTCTGCAATTATAGCATTGTCGAGGCTGGATTTGTTTGCATTGAATTCCCCACCAACTTTCATCATATTGATTTCAGCTCGAGTTGCAAAGGCTCTAGTCATTGAATCCTCACAATCCCAAGCCCAACAATTGAAGCCTGTTCGTTGAAAACTCGCAAGCGTACGGGATCATTGTACAAGTAATAAAATATATGAGTTAAGAGTATCGTTCCCATGAGAAATAAGGTCTAATATGTAGTTCAATAGTTGCTATTAAATTCGAAGTGTGGTGATATCAAGAGAGTTGCAATTTATATGTTCTCGAAACTAGTCCTAAACTAACAAAGCAAATAAACTATTTATTTAATATGTAAATGCTTATATTGGAACCGTGAATCCCCCTATTGCTATTTAATTCAACTCTTAATTCATAATTTAGTAAATTTATTCATTCAAGACAATAGATAATCCACTTTTATTCAATATTCTTTCCCAAAACATATTAAACATATGTTTAGTACGACCTGATCCAATTTCTAGTCCGAATTCATATGAAAAATATGTATTGATTCGCAGGATTTATAACACATAATTGTACATTCCATAGACATTATTCCTTATACTTATTATCCATGTGTTGATTTTACCGCGTTCTAAACTTATTGTAAGTATTTCTACACTACAACAAGCAACTTACTATTTAATTGGTGATCAAACAATTAAATAATTCAAGGGAAATGCTAAACCAATTAAGAAAAATCATAAAATACTTAATTAATTGTCTTGAATTAAAATAAACAAAAAATAGGGTTCAACATTCATTCAATACAATGAAAAACTAAGGCAACCATCCTAATTATTAAATTATATAAGAAATAATTAAAAGACATCACCTGGATCCAAGAAATATGGAATAAAGTAGAGAAATCCATTTTCTGGTGTGAAATCTTGATTTTGGATGGATAATCTTCGAGAATCTTGCCCACTTCCTTTGATGTTGATGATGTAGCCTCGCTCTTTGCATCCAAAATATGTTAAATCTATGAATTTTTAGGTCTAACGGAGGTTCTCCCTGATGTGGGCGTGTTCTCATATTTATATGATGTCAAGGAGACTCCTTACCAAAATAAAATAAGGAAAGCTAAATTTTTCTGCGTTTAACATTGAGGCGCCCCCCTAATGTAATCTAGGACGTGCGCCTGAGAGCCTTGGGGTGCCTCGGTGCCTTCTTTTTGGTTGGGGACGTGCGCCTTTCTTGCAGGAGAGGGCGCACGTCTTGACTAAGTTCTAGCAGTCGAACAACTTTTAGTATTTTTATCATAACTTTCTCTCTCGATATCCGATTGGAATGATTCAGAGTGCGTTGGAAAAAGCTTACTCAAAGGGATACAATTCTTCTTGAGATATCATTTTTCAGTTCGAAAGTTTGCTATGTCAAAGTTGGGTTTCAATATGAAACTAAAAATCAAAAGCATAACTTTTTCAGTTGAAAGTTTATGTATGATAATATTTTGACTATAACTCATCCCTTTGACTTTTTTTCTCATCTAATTGACCCCGGGAACTCTCAAATCTTCATCGTGAATTTTGAAACAACTTTTCAAGTATTTGCATTTTAGTCCCCAAACTTTGGATTAGCTTCATTTTACCCCCTTTTTCGTTCTTTCTTCCAATTCTTCTTCGAAACATGAATTTTTCCTAATAAAAATAATAAATAACAAATTAAGTACTAATTCATCTAAAAAATAACAAAATATCATCATTTAGGATCCCAAATAAGTATAGAAACTACACTTATCAAAGTCCTTACGACCTGGGATTTTTAATTCAATCAATGTTGGTCAACTTAAAAGAAGTAATATGACGGAGAATCAAATAGGTTCTTAACTAAATGTTACAATCATTTTTTTGTATATCTACGTTTCCGTCTTCCACCTTCTCACAGACGAAGCGATGCTGAACTCGAATATGGTTTGTCTTTAAGTGAAATGCTGAATTCTTTGTTAAAATGTAAAAAGTTCTTTCATAAATTAGCAATCTTCTCTTGTTTGTTTATGAGATCCTCCACTAACATTTGCAACCAGGTTGGCTCTTTACTAGCTTATGTAACTGCTAAATACTTTGACTCCGTTGTAAAAGTGGCCACGATAGATTGCCATTTTGAAACTCAAATTACGGCTCCTATAGCTAAACACATATCCAATGATGAATTTGTTTTTGCCAATATCACCTGCATAATCTAAATCAACATAACTTTCGATCGTAAAGTCTGATCCTCCAAAATATAATACAACATTTGAGATACCTTTAATATATATCAGGATCCTCTTCATAATACTAAATGCTCTTCACCACGATTCGCCATATCAAACATTAAGCTACCCATTGCTGATGCATACGGTGTTTGAGATATTTCTTTTTTGCTTTGTTGATAGGACTCATACTTAGAGATAACTTGAAATTAATAGAAAGAGTGGTAGAAATTGACTTACAATCATATATGTTAAAGTGGTGCAATGTTAGGATGTGACGGTGTCACCTCCAGGAATGGTAGACAACACACTAGAATTAGCCAAAATTATATCATCGAAACAAAGTCCGGAGTTGATCTATAGGAGGATGATGTAGAGGAAGAGCCATGCATCGATTAGCGAAAGTGAGCGAGAGAAGAGGGAAAAGGCAAGTAGGACAGCTAGTCTAGTGGTCAACAGTGGCTGTAGTTGATGGTGGCAAGAGTTGGTGATGGAAAACCTTAAAATCTGATTTTTGGAAGAAATTGTGTAAATGATGAGTGGGTGATGTGGGGTAAGATGATTTGGTGTGCATATACTTGGACTTTGATTGATTTAGCCGAAAATGATGTTTAGTAAATTTTTATAGAAGTTGATAAACTATATGGTAGAAAATTGTGGGCCCAATTAATTGTTAGGTTGAAAATGACTTTGAAAACCAAAAAATAAATAAATAAATAAAATTGAGTTTTAGAAAAAGGGAACCAAACAGGAAGCCTAATTTTTTATACAATAATGATTAATATTTGATTTTTTTAAATTAAAACTTAAAAAATAAGGTTTTAGATAATTTTTCCTAAAATAAAACC